TCACATGTAAACGTGGAGACTCGGGTCGTGTTTTTCCTCAGGGCTCATTACCTGGCGTCTCATCGCTCACACGCGTCCGTTAAACCGCCGCACCTGCTCCGGAGAACCGCGCAGGTGCTCCTCCGAGGGCGCGTCTGATTGGCCGGCGGCGCTCTCGGTGTTCAGACATGATTAGCCTCCATAACTCCTGCGTTAGCTCCTGCACCTGTTGTTTACATGTGAAGAGTCTGCTGCTCGTTTAGACGCAACGGGAGCGGAGGGAGGGATGAGAGGATGGAGGGATGAGAGGATGGAGGGATGAGCGGAGGGAGGGATGGAGCGGAGGGAGGGATGGAGAGAGGGATGGAGAGAGGGAGCTATTTCCTGGAGTAGTTCAATGTTTTAATTAGACCTGAGCTTTGTAGAAGAGGAATTTATCAATAACAGATTCTGTAAAAGTTGTTTTTTGGGGTTAAAAATGCAAAGTTTATGGATAAAAGGATGAATATAGGAGGATATTTGTGGAATATTTTAAGTGGAAATGTGCAAAATTTTGATATCAAGGGGTCAGTCCATCTAAAATCAGCCGCTCTTCCCTTTGAGCATCACAGATTTGGCAGAAAAATTTTCTAAAATGACCAAATGAAAGAATCAAAAAATTTTGCTCAATCCCTTGAGTCGTTCCTATGACTACTACTACTACTACTACTATGACTACTATTACTACTACTATGACTACTATTACTACTACTATGACTACTATTATTACTTCTTCTACTACTACTACTACTAGGACTACTATTATTATTACTACTACAACTATTATTACTACTACTACTACTACTTCTAGGACTACTACGACTACTAGGACTACTATTATTATTACTACTACTACTACGACTACTACTATTACGACTACTATTATTACTACTATAACTACTACTACTACTACTAGGACTACTACTACTAGGACTACTAGGACTACTACTACTACTACTACTAGGACTACTATTATTACTACTACTACAACTATTATTACTACTACTACTACTACTTCTAGGACTACTACTACTACGACTACTAGGACTACTATTATTATTACTACTACTACTACGACTACTACTATAACTACTACTACTACTACGACTGCTACTATTATTACTACTACTACTACTTCTAGGACTACTACTACTATGACTACTACTACTACTATTACGACTACTATTATTACTACTACAACTACTACGACTACGACTGCTACTATTATTACTACTACTACTACGACTACTACTATTACGACTACTGTTATTACTACTACGACTGCTACTACTATTATTACTACTACTACTACTTCTAGGACTACTACTACTACTACGACTACTACTACTACTATTACGACTACTATTATTACTACTACTACTACTACTACTACTATTATTACTACTACAACTACTACTACTATTATTACTACTACTGCGACTGCTATTACTACTACTACTACTCGTTTAGACGCAATTGGAGCGGAGGGAGGGATGAGAGGATGGAGGGATGAGAGGATGAAGGGATGAGAGGATGGAGGGATGAGAGGATGGAGAGAGGAGGAGGGATGAGGGATGAGAGGATGGAGAGAGGGATGGAGGGATGAGGGGATGGAGAGGGATGGAGAGAGGGAGCTATTTCCTGGAGTAGTTCAATGTTTTAATTAGACCTGAGCTTTGTAGAAGAGGGATTTATCAATAACAGATTCTGTAAAAGTAGTTTTTTGGGGTTAAAAATGCAAAGTTTGTGAATAAAAGGATCAATATAGGAGGATATTTGTGGAATAGTTTAAGTGGAAATGTGCACAGTTTTGATACTACGGGGTCAGTCCGTCTGAAATCAGCCGCTCTTCCCTTTGAGCATCACAGATTTGGCAGAAAAATTTTCAAAAATTTTCTAAAATGACCAAATAAAAGAATCTAAAATTTTAACTCAATCCCTTGAGTCGTTCCTACGAAAACTATTATTACTACTGCGACTACTACTACAGTTATTGCTACTATTATTACTTCTACTACTACTACTACAACTACTATTACTTTTATTACTATTATTACTACTACTACTACTACTACGACTATGACTATGAGTATGACTCGGGTGTAAGAAAAATTTGGCTGAAAAAAAGTTAAAAAAAAATATATATATAGGATGATATAGGACTAAACCAGGACTAAAATAGGACTAAACCAGGACTAAACCAGGACTAAAATAGGACTAAAATAGGACTAAAACAGGACTAAACCAGGACTAAAATAGGACTAAAACAGGACTAAAATAGGACTGAACCAGGACTAAAACACAACTAAACCAGGTCTTCAGTATCGAGTATCGGGGTTTTTTTCGATACATTTGACGACGCTTTAATGCTCTGACCATCTCCATTTCTCTTAAACCATCTCTCTCGTGTGTGTGTTATTGTGCATGTGTGTGTGTGTTATTGTGCGTGTGTGTGTGTTATTGTGTTATTGTGTGTGTGTTATTGTGCGTGTGTGCCTTGGGTTCATACAATCTTTTATGAAGACAAAAAGGACTAAAGTAGGACTAAAACAGGACTAAAGTAGGACTAAAACAGGACTAAAACAGGACTAAAACGAGGACTAAAACGAGGACTAAAACAGGACTAAAACAGGTCTAAAACAGGTCTAAAACAGGACTAAACGAGGACTAAAACAGGACTAAAGTAGGACTAAAATAGGACTAAAACAGGACTAAAACACAACTAAACCAGGTCTTCAGTATCGATACCTGCTCAAACGAGGATCTAGTTTCGATACCAGTCTTAATATCGATTCGTATCTTGATTTTTTTTTTTTTTTTCGATACATTTGACGACGCTTTAACGCTCTGACCGTCTCCATTTCTCTTAAACCATCTCTCTCGTGCGTGTGTGTTATTGTGTGTGTTGTGTGTGTGTGTGTGTGTGTGTTATTGTGCGTGCGTGTTGTGTGTGTGTGTGTGTGTGTGTGTTATTGTGCGTGTGTGTGTGTGTTATTGTGCGTGTGTGTGTGTTATTGTGTGTGTTGTGTGTGTGTGTGTGTGTATTGTGTGTGTGTGTGTGTGTGTTGTGTGTGTGTGTTGTGTGTGTGTGTGTGTGTGTGTTATTGTGCGTGTTGTGTGTTATTGTGCGTGTGTGTGTGTTATTGTGCGTGTGTGTGTGTTATTGTGCGTGTGTGTGTGTTATTGTGCGTGTGTGTGTTATTGTGCGTGTGTGTGTGTTATTGTGCGTGTGTGTGTGTTATTGTGCGTGTGTGTGTGTTATTGTGCGTGTGTGTGTGCGTGTGTGTGTTTTTGCGTGTGTGTGTGTTTTTGCGTGAGGAGAGGCAGAGCACTTTCATGTACTCGGGGCCTTGGGTTCATACGGTCTTTTATGAAACGCCCGCTCTCTCCTCGCGCTCGCTCCACCTCGTGCATTTGTCATCAAAGCGCCGCACGAGAGCTCTAAAGAAACAACTGGGAGCGTTTCCATGGTTACCGGCACCCGTGGGTCCGACGTCCACAGATGAAACGCACTTGTCGCAAAAAAAAAAAACTGTCAAGCTCTCAGGACTTCAAAAAAACTAAAGAGCGGGATCAGGGCTGGACCGGGACTAAAGCAAGGGCTAAAGAAGGTCTAAAGCAGGACTGAACCAGGACTAAAACAGGACTAAAGCAGGACTAAAGCAGGACTAAACCAGGTTTAAACCAGGACTATAAAACAGGTCTAAACCAGGACTAAACCAGGATTAAACAGGGCTAAAGAAGGTCTAAAGCAGGACTGAACCAGGACCAAAACAGGATTAACACAGGACTAAAACAGGTCTAAGCCAGGACTAAAACAGGACTAAAGAAGGTCTAATGCAGGACTAAAACAAGACTAAAACAGGATTAAACAAGGACTAAACCAGGTCTAAAACAGGTCTACAACAGGTCTAAAACAGGTCTAAACCAGGACTAAACCAGGACTAAACCAGGACTAAAACAGGACTAAAACAAGACTAAAACAGGATTAAACCAGGACTAAAACAGGTCTAAAACAGGTCTAAAACAGGTCTAAAAAGGTCTAGGAAAAGACTAAACAGGACTAAAACCAGGTCTAAACCAGGACTAAAACAGGACTAAAACAGGTCTAAAACAGGTCTAAACCAGGACTAAAACAGGTCTAAAACAGGTCTAAAGCAGGTCTAATATAGGTCTAAACCAGTTCTCAACCAGGTCTAAAGCAGGACTAAAGAAGGTCTAAAACAGGCCTAAACGGGGACTAAAACAGGACTAAAGAAGGTCTAAACCAGGTCTAAACCGGGACTAAAACAGGTCTACACCAGGACTAAAGCAGGACTAAAACAGGTCTAATATAGGTCTAAACCAGGACCACGGAAGGTCTAAAACAGGTCTAAACCAGAGCTAAATTAGGAGGTCTAATGCTGGACTAAACCAGGTCTAAAGCCAGGTGCAAAGAAGGTTTAAACCATGACAAAACCTGTACTGAAGCAGGTCTAAATCAGCACTAAAGCAGGTCTAAAGCGGGACTAAAGCGGGACTAAAGCAGGTCTAAAGCGGTTCTAACCCAAGACTAAACCCGGTCTAAAACAGGGCTAAATAACTGAGGATTGATATGGGGAAAAACAGGACTAAAGCAGTTTTAAAACCGGTCTAAGCCAGGACTAAAGTAGGACTAACGCAGGACTAAAACAAGTCTAAACCAGGACTAAACCAGGTCTAAAACAGGACTAAAGTAGGACTAAACCAGAACTACACAACTGAGGACAGATATGGGGCTCAACCAGGGACTAAACCAGAACTGCACCAGGTTCTTTATTAGAATCGGTTCTGAGTATTAATATCGAAATCGAGTTTTTGTATCATGACACTAAACTGGATTTAAAATGTACAAACAGAAATACAAATAAATAAAAAATAAAACTACACTTTCTTCTCCATGATATAACTCTATGATAATAAATAAAATACCGTTTAAAAGTCTGCTCTTCTTCTTCTTCCAGGTCACGGGTTTAAGTTCGGCCCAATGATCGGGAAGCTTCTGAGTGAGCTGAGTCTGGGGGAGGAGCCGTCCTACGACCTTTCACCTTTCAGGATCCGCCGCTTCCAGGGACTGTCCAAATCCGCTCTGTGAACGACGACGCGAAGACGACAAGAAGAAGAAGAAGAAGAAGAAAGACCAAAAAAAAAAGATGTGATTCATGTTTTTAAAGGGCCCAGATTCTGTTTCCTCGTCACAAACAAACCTGGAGTTGTGTTTTGTTTCATTCACACATGTTTAACGCACAAACTCTTCAGATTTAGACTGAGTTCTTTTCTCAAACTGTAAACAAAACACAACTCCAGGTCTGTTTTTGAGGACGTAACAACATTATAACATGACTTAAAGCTCACAAAAGTCAATTTTAAGCAATGTAATTTACAAAAAATGAAATTCCAAAGATCATTTACAAATTTTATTAACATTAAATACCGTATTTTTCGGACTATAAGGCGCAATATCAATAATGTTGAATTCTCTCGTCTATTTTCTTACATAAGTCACACCGGATTATAAGGAGCATTAAGTGAAACAAACGTACGACACTCGAGACTGATGCTTAGTCCAGGCGTCCACGATCCATCGGCAAATCGTGGCGTAATTCGCCCGGCGTTGCCTCCCTGTCTTGGTGAATGTGGATTATGAAGGTGAATGTGGGTGAATCATTTAATTTGTTTGTTTTTTAATTTCCTACGAGGACGATTCAAATATACATCGAGTAATAATGTGTTTCATGCAGCTTTGCGCACATTTGTTTATGTTTTACAGAAGCGAAACTTAAAAGCACATGACTCATTTGCATAAACTATAAACACTGAAAAAAAACACCTCGCTCCATGTGTGCTATTCTGTCGGACTAAAGGACTGACTACAGTAGCTGTAATGCGCCGACAATCCATCAAGTGGTGCGGCTCCGTAGTTTACCAAAGTCGTACTAAAACATTTTGACAGATTTTTGAGCGCCGTGTACCACATAAAATCGGTGCGAGGTCAATAAACACAACCAGAATTCATACATAAAGCGCACTGTTGATTTTTGAGAGAATTAAAGGATTTTACATGCGCCTTATAGTCCGAAAAATACGGTAAGAGTATTTTTTTAATAGAACTACTTTTTAACACATACATTTAAATTACTGCCAAATTAGACTGTATTATTTCATATTAATGTCAAAACAGGTGTTCCTAATCATGTTTAAAGGCGTCTGGAATGTCCCACAGTATGGCTTTAAACTTAAATAACTTAACTAAATAATAACTAACTAAAACTTAAATAAGCCTATGTCATCCTGGAGACAGATCATTGTAATGCCATACTGTGGAACATTCCAAGTAAAGTCCAGGTAAACATCTCAATTCAGAAAAGGTAGAGAAACAGAAACAGTAGAAAAGTTACCTAATGAAGCTTTAAAGGTCACTGCTCTGTCTAAAATGTTCCACAGTGTGACATTAAACAGCTCTACTTTACATTTATTCAATTACAGGTGGTTTTATTGCGTAAAAATATCTACAAAAACAACATTCTGACTGTGAGCGGGGTCGCCTCTCCACAGATCTGACCTGTAACTTGGTCTGGTTTGGTCTCTGTGAAGATAGAAAGGTTTAATGCCACACTGCGAAACATTCTGTACACAGAAATAACTTCCAAAGAGAAGTATTTGACGAGCTCTGCGTCACAAAAGTTACACAATGCAACTTTAAGCAAATTAAAATAAGAAACTGTGATTATTAATAATGTTCTTAATCTGAGAAATGCTGCAAATGTAATGTGTAAAATGTAAATAAAATTGATATAATTGTAAAGTTTCTCTCAAGTAATATTACAATGGAGTATATAACATTTGTGAAATCATAATAGAAATAACCACAACAAAAAATTGCCCAAAAAGGAGTGAGTGTGTACACATGCACATCAATAACCTGGTTATGATTGGCTTTTTTGAGTATCCCGGTTTCTTCATGGTGCATGTGGACGCAGTAACCCGGTTTCAGTATCCCAATTATTAGAAACCAGGTTACTGTAGCTGGTTTATTCCGATAGTAACCGGGATACTTGTGGCATGTAAACGCAGTATCCCGGTTACTGCAACATAAAGTTGAGTGCGCATGCGTCCAAAAGACACTTTCCAGTCTTTTCACCACAACAGTAGCGACAAAAAAGTGACCAAACGAGTGAAATGACTGTAAAATTAAGAGCTGCGCTAAACCTGCACACGTACAATCTGCACTCGTGTGATGCTGAAAAGTTAAAACATGAACTATCTCCTATACAACACACGCACAGAACAGACTCACCATCATCAGCACCTCTTCTGTCACAGAAATAACACACATAATCCACTGAGTCGTGTCATTTAGTCCAAAAGAAGATGGTCGCATCAGCGGCACAAGGAGCGAGTTGTTTTTATCACCGCTAACAGTTTATGCTAATTAGCCAAACGGTCTTAAGTTTCATTTCTGTAAAACGTAAACAAATGTGATCAGAGCTGAATGATCTGATCAAACGGGCTCATGTGGCTCTACAGTGTTTATGGTTTAATGTTGTAAAGTTGAGTTTATTTATGCAGAAGATTTTAATGAAGAATCTGTTGGTTTGATGTGTGCAGTGGATTGTGGGAGATCTCGTAGCTCCTTAGCTTCTTATGCTAAAGGAGCTCACAGTTTGTATTTTTCCTGGTTTATGAAATTGATTTAAGTTAATTTTTGCGCTTGTGCATTTGTAAGATTATGTCAGGAAACCAGGATACTCCATTTGATCATGTACACGCGGATATGAGTTTCTCAGTGCGCATGTAAACGCAGTAACACGAACACTGACATAACCGGGATATGGATAATAACCGGGATACTGATGTGCATGTATACGCACTCAATGGGAAAAAGAAAACTTATAGCTGCGTCTGCGTTAGCATTAGCGTTAGCATTAGCGGTAGCATTAGCGTTAGCATTAGCGTTAGCATTAGCGTTAGCATTAGCGGTAGCATTAGCGGTAGCATTAGCGGTAGCATTAGTTTTTCAGGTAGTCTCTCATTTTATTGTTGAAAATCAAACTCCTAAACAGAATCATGAAGGCTCAAATTGATCACAGGTTCCTAAAAATGAGCTGTTTATATCCATTTTGCATTTTTTGTGTTTTTGTTTTTTTGTTTTTTTGAGTTTTTAGAACGTTTAAAAACTCATCAGGTTGTGTGTGAGTCTGGTTCTGATGTAAACAAAGAAAATCAGAACGATAGAACAGATCTGCCCAGGAAGAAAGAGAGAAAGGAAGAGGGGAATTATACAGCAGAAAGAGAGAAAGGATGGAGAGAGTGATAGATGAAGGGAGATAGAAAGGAGAGAAAAAGCAGGCGAGATTAAAAGGAGGAGCATCAAGAAGGGGAGCAAAAGTGAAAAGGAAAAAAGAGAACGCGAGAGAGGAGGGGAGTTAGAGAGAAAAAGAGAGACGGGGTAAAGAGAGGAAGGGAGAAACAAGTAGGCAAATGAGATGGAGAGAGAGAAGGAGGTAGAAAGAGAAGATTAGAGGAGAGAGAGGAAGGAAGAAATGGCAAAAGTAAGAGGGAGCGCAGAGGAGGTAGAGAGAGAAAATGAAAGGAGGAGAGAGGGAGAAACAGCTAAAGCAAGGGAGAGAGGAAGAGGTAGAGAGAGAAAATGAGAACAAGGAGAACAGGAAAGAAAGACGAGGTAGAGAGAGAAAAAATGAGAACGAGAAGAGAAACAGGAGAAGGTAGAGAAAAAATGAGAACAAGAGGGAGAGGAGAGAAAGAGGAGGTAGAGAGAGAGAATGAAAGCGAGGAAGGGAGAAACAGGGAAAGATGGGGAGAGCGAAGGAGGCAGAGAGACAAAATGAAAGAGAAGAGGAGAAAAAGGAGGACGCAGAGAAGGAAAATGAAAGATGAGGAAGAAGGAGAGAGGAGGAGCAGGTAGAGAGAGAAAATGAAAACAACACGAGAGAAAGAGAAGGAGGTAGAGAAAACGAGAGGAGAGAAAGGAGGTAGAGAGAAAATGAAAATGAGAGGAGAGAAAGAAAGGAGAGAAAGAAAATGAAAGAGAGGAGGAAGAGGTAAAGAGAGAAAATGAGAGGAGAGAAAGAGGAGGTAGAGAGAGAAAATGAAAGCGAGGAAAGGAGAAACAGAGGGAAATATGGGGAGAGCGGAGGAGGCAGAGAGACAAAATGAAAGAGAAGAGAGAGAAGGAGAAGGTAGAGAGAAAAAATCTAAACGAGAAGAGAGAAAGAGGAGCAGGTAGAAAGAAAATGAAAACAAGAGGAGGTAGAGAGAGAAAATGAGACGGAGAGAGGAGAGGGAGGAGGAAGGAAGAAACGGCAAAAGTAAAAGGGAGAGAGGAGGTAAAGAGAGAAAATGAAAGAGGAAGGCAGAAACAAGGAAAGATGAGGAGAGCGGAGGAGGCAGAGAGACAAAATGAAAGAGAGGAAGGGAGAAACGGAAAGATGAGGAGGCAGAGAGAGAAAATGAGAGGAGGAGAGAGGGATGGAGAAACAGCAAAAGCAAGGGAGAGAGACGGAGGTAGAGAGAGAGAATGAAAACGAGGAGAGAAAGACGAGAGAAAATGAGAGGGAGAGAAGGTAGAGAGAGGAAATGAAAACAGGAGAGAAAGAGAAGGAGGTAGAGAGAGAAAATGCAAACTAGAGGAAAGGAAGAGGAGGAGGTAGAGAGAGAAAATGAGAAGAGAAAGAGGAGGAGGTAGAGAGAAAATGAGAAGAGAGAAAGAAGAGGAGGTAGAGAGAGAAAATGACAGGAAAGAAAGAAGAGGAGACAGAGAAAATGAAAGAGAAGAGGAAGAGGTAGAGAGAGAAAATCAAAATGAGAGGAAAGAAAGAGGAGCAAGGGAGTTAGGAGGTATAGAGAGAAAATGAGGGAGATGAAAGAAACAGGAGGAGGTAGAGAGAGAAAGAGAACAAGAAGAGAGAGAGGAGGAGGTAGAGAAAACGAGAGGAGAGAAAGAGGAGAAGGTAGAGAGAGAAAATGAAAACAAGAAGAGCGAAAGAAGAGGAGGTAAAGAGAAAATGAAAACAACAGGAGCGAAAGAGTAGGAGGTAGAGAGAGAAAATGAGAGGGGGAGAGACGGAGGAGAGAGAAAATGAGAGGAGAGAGGGAAAATGAGAAGTAGGAGAGAGAAAATGAGAGGGGGAGAGGGAAAATGAGAGGGAGGAGAGAGAAAATGAGAGAGAGGGAGGAGAGAGAAATGAGAGGGGGAGAGAGGGAAGAGAGAAAACGAAAGGGAGGAGAGGAAAAAATGAGAGGGAGGAAAGAGAAAATGAGAGGGGGAGGAGGTAGAGAGAAAATAAAGGGGGAGAGAGGAGGAGCGAGAAAATGAGAGGGGGGAGAGAGAAAACGAGGGGGAAGAGAGGGAGGAGAGAGAAAATGAGAGGGAGGAGAGAGAAAACGAGGGGGAGAGAGGAGGAGAGAGAAAATGAGGGAGGAGAGAGAAAACGAGGGGGAGAGAGGGAGGAGAGAGAAAATGAGAGGGAGGAGAGAGAAAACAAGGGGGAGAGAGGGAGGAGAGAGAAAATGAGAGGGGGAGAGAGAAAATGAGAGGAGAGAGAGAAAAGGAGAGGAGAGGAGAGAGGGAGGAGAGAGAAAACGAGAGAGGGAGGAGAGAGGAAAATAAGAGGGAGAGAGAGAAAATGAGAGGAGAGAGAGAAAACGAGGGAGAGAGGGAGGAGAGAGAAAATGAGAGGGAGAGAGAAAATGAGAGAGGGAGGAGAGAGAGAGAAAATGAGAGGGGGGAGGAGGTAGAGATAAAAGAAGGGGGAGGGGGGAAGGGAGGGGAGGGAGAGAGGAGGGAGGGAGGGAGGAGAGAGAGGAGGAGGAGGAGGAGGAGAGGAGAGGGAGAGGAGGGAGAGGAGAGGATTGGATTGTTGGGCGGCGTGTGAGTGACTCCACATCCATCACACTGGGCTATTATGCAAATGAAGGAAATTACAACCATATTACACATGCAAATATAAATATACTGCTGCTGCCAGACAGACGGAGAGAGGGAGGAGAGGAGGAGAGGAGAAGAAGAGAGGAGAGAGAGAGGGAGGAGAGGAGGAGAGAGAGGGAGGAGAGAGAGGGAGGAGAGGAGGAGAGGGGGAGGAGGAGAAGAGAAAAGAGAGAGGAGGAGAGAGAGGGAGGAGAGAGGGAGGAGAGAGAGGAGAGAGGAGGAGGAGGAGAAGAAGAGAGGAGAGAGAGAGACGGAGGAGAAGAGAGGAGAGAGAGGGAGGAGAGGAGGAGGAGAGAGAGGAGAGAGAGAGAGAGAGAGAGGAGAAGAGGAGGGATGGAGGGATGGATGAAGAGAGAGGGAAGATGAGAGAAGAGAGGCCCACTGTCTCCATAAACTGAACTGTGTCATGTTGTTGTTTCTTCGTCACAAACAAACCTGGAGTTGTGTTTTGTGTTTTGTGTTTGTTTGTTTGTTTCTTTCACATTTGCAGATTAACATCGTATCTTCGCTCAAACTGTTCCACCTTGTGATGTCACGCGGTGATACAGGAAGTGCTCCACCGTCAGTGTTGGGAAGGTGCCTTTTAAAACATATTCCCCTACAGATTACAGATTACACACCTCAAAATGTAGTTTGTAACGTAATCCCTTAAATTACTTAAAGTGAGTAATGTAATCTGATTACTTTGGATTACTTGATTTGCTCTAGAGAAGCAAAGATGAGGAAACTTAACCGTATTTAAAATATTATTGATAGAAGAGGAGACACGTCCACGCAGCAGGATTTAGTCCTGTTAAATCCTGTTTTAGTCCTGGTTTAGACCTGGTTTAAACCTGGTTTAGATCTAGTTTAGAACT